CCGTATTCTTATCATTTTCAAATATATATCGTTGAATTGGAGTTACGACACAATGTAGAATAAATTTAGAATGTAATATAAATATGTAAAAAGCTTGTTAATTGCTAATTTGGTAATGTGAATACGCTTGATCTCTTGCATATCATTCCTTATAATCTCATCTCGTTCTGCAATTGTTACTTATTCGAAATTCTTTATTTTCAATATTTTAAATGAATATTGTATCAAAAAAAACGATTGAAGAATCTCTTTGAAGAAATAAACATATAGAAACACCTACGGAAACTCGTAATGAGATATAAACAACTATTTTATCGTACGACATTAGAATATTACAATAACGTTAGAACAGCCGTGTTATACGACGGGATCAACGGTCAATTAAGAATTCGTTAAAGTACGAATAGAACAGAATTGACTGATATTTGATATTGGGGGTGATGGCGTACTATCAATGATTCTCTTATCAGTATCGTCATCGTTGATCACAGAAGGAAGTTTTAGGTTGAGTGTTTCATCGTGGCTATCATTTAGTTCTGCAGTCGTTTCTTTACCATCCATATTATTATTATCATTATTGGAGCTGTTATTACAGCCAGTATTATGATTTATGCCATTGGTATCATTGTTATTAATGCTGTCATTTGTGGGAATGTTATTGTTGCATGATCGCCTGCTCCCTTTTTCGGTCCTTCTCCACTTCGCTCGACGATTCTGGAACCAAACCTGAAATACCACGGGATTTGACTGAACAGTGTAAAATACTTCATCACGAATTCCTTCCACATATTTCTTCGAGATTCGACAGATTATAAATAGAATTCTCCAGTTCTGGTGTGCGCATTTTGGCAAACTCGATCGTCACTGTATGCACATTCAGCTGTCAGTAAAGCATCTTCTGGATAAATCATCAAGGAGTGTATGGTGGGTTTCCGAGATTCTTGATACATAAGAAGCGGACGTTCCCAGTGATTGATATGGATAAGATTTGTATGCTTCTACATGAACGATTGGAAAGGATATCTTCTTCCTGTAACAAGAATCCCGAAAATCCGTCGCTCATAGTGGATGCTTTTCAATCCGCCAGGCAAACACACTGGCCGTCGCAAGCATGATTTTTATTGATTCTGGAGCAAAATGAGAGCTGTGAATGATCTATACAAACAATTTTGAGTGGACTTCTAGAGTAAAGATTAGGCACAATAAGAAGAAGATATCAAATGTTTGTGGTGATGGTTTGCAGCTCATAAGAGAGTGTCTTCATCTCTCGAACTGTTATTTAGCATAACCCTAAAGAATTTCATGCTTAGCGTTGGACTTAACTAGCGTGAATTAGTCAATGCAGATGTTGTGTACGAGAAGGAAACTCGCCAAATGTAACCGATACGAGCATAAACTGTTTGTCGTTTTACCTGTATTCTTGCTTCGGTTAGATGAATTTTCAACGCGAGTTCCTCACGTGCGAATACATCTGGATAATGAGATCGTTGAAATGCTGTCTCGAGTTGATCCAACTGCAACTGATCATTTGATTTGCAGTGAATATTAATCATATGGGCCTACAACCCTACGATCTTAGCAGGTTTTATCAGCTGACGATATGACTGCATCGACTCTAATAGGGGAAATTTTCCAGTTATCTCAGCAAAAAAATATCGACGTTCAAAGAAACTGAACCAAGAGCGCATCTGACCTGATGGACCGAAAATGTGGTTCGGTTTCTGCGTTGTTTCCGTCGGACTGCATTCTCGTCGATAGCTGTCGATGCAAGAGCGCCTCCGTATAGAAGTGAGCTGCTCTGATGACACAGTACCATAGCATCATCTGAAAATCTGGGTCAGTGCAAGAACGGTTTCAGAACTGAGTAATATTTGATTCATAAATATGACTCCAAATTCACTTCTCTGCTCACGTTTCCAACTTTCTGTGAGATTTTTCCATTTTAAACGATTGCAAGTAATCTTATCTATATTTTCATTAACCCTCATACATCGAACGAGCCTGAGAGGTCCGTCGTCAACTTCCAATCTTTCATAACTTCATTAATGCTGTAACCGCTGATCTG